AATGTAGTAAGAAACCGCAAATTGTGGAAAACATTGACTCACCTACAATGGACGAAGCTTTCAGATATTTTCTCAGCCGAAATAATTCCTTGGACATTCTAAAATCTACATGGCATTCACGGATGCAAAACATGCAAAGGTGCATTCCTGGAAACAACCTTTGCCCAATAATTGCTGTTGCCAGTTAAAATTCCGTAGCCCACGTTCATTGTTGGCAAAACGTCGTGCAACTTTGTCATTAAACAGAACAGTTTTCCATATAGGTTGCGAATTATGCTAGGAAGTCCTGCACGTTGGTCGATTAACCACATGAAACCTACGTCACTCATAGCGGGAGGCTAAGAACCAGACGTAATTTACTTGTATGTAGACTCATCTTAAGGTCAAGCCTGAAGAGCACCACCACAGCGGGCAAGGTTCACCATCTCAACAGTGAGCGTGATATGATACGCGATCCGCTGCACACCGGCAAGACAGAGTACGCGTACGTAGTCACTCGGTAGACCACGTTCAGAATGTAGACGTCGCCCTCTAGGATTTGCCGTCTGTCTCATTGGTACGATCTGTGCATCTCAAATTGCCACAATAGCCAATCGGCATGCCGGAAACCTTTTGCATTGCATACCAAATTGCCAAAAATTCTCAACTGTATAATTTTCGTCCATCATTTCCTTGAATAAGTCGAACACTTCACGCATGGGGAGCAAACTATGCGCTCTCTACGAATGCAAACATAACCAGACTCCCGGTTCGTATGCGGTCCGTTATCAAGAATGTGTACAGTTTAGACCTACATGCCCAATATTAGGTGCTTTGAAAAACTTACTCGAAGCCGTTTGTTGCATGCGTACCGTTTACATTCAATACATCTGGAAAGCGTCGGAACAGCGCTATCTGTTGCCATCGGGAGAAACATATGTGGCCATAGTGACTTCCCTCTGATTGCCATACAAGGACGCGTTCGGTCTCCCGAAGCTTTTCCAGGACCGAAGGCACAGCATCTTCCATAATAAAACCCAACTATGTCGCACCTACTTAACAGAGCAGGTCGCCACTTCCGGCTGTAACTGTACATATCCTGAGTGGTAAGGATCTGCCAAATTCATCAGCCACAAAAAGCCGCACCTCACACGACGGCGTTCCATACTTCAGAAGGGCCTTGCTTGTGCCCAACTCGCTCTTAGTTAGCCGTTGATTAACCGAAAGCCGATCGTACAAAAACGTTGACAACTTATGGTTGCGGTCGAGATATTAAAGGGCGAATGGTAGTTGGTTCCTTTGCCTCCATAGACAAAACCATACTGAACAGCTGGCACTTTGACTACTGTTTGTTTATTAGCGAACACGCTCAGTTTACCAGCTTCTTCGAATTCCTCGACTTTTCGCTTGTTTTTGAGGTCGCCTGCTGCATTTGTGACATATCCGTTCGCAATGCAAAAAATTATTTGTACTTCGATTACAGGCACAAATACGACATAGTTATCCTTCATGTATTGATTTCAGACCTTCTCAAATGCCGTGAAGGATGAAAACGATACAGCCCCAAATTTCCTAACAAACACATGTGAAGCCACTTCCAAAGCCATAGCACAACAAGATCAAGGTCACATGTGCGCCAAAAATTCTGAAGGGAGATTTGTTGAAACAAATCGCAAAAAGTGACAGCAAATGAGGGTGATTTTTCGTCTGAGCACACGTGTAACGAAATGCAATATTTTGACTTAAACAAATTTTACTTCACCCACAAGGGTTTTGCAGAAAAATTCACTGTGCACTCAAGGCATGGGTTCTGTGTGAGAAGACCAGTCTTAAAACCACGGGGAATTTTCGGGCATAAGTAATTCTGTAAGAGGATGAAGCAAATGGGATCCTTCTGATAAATTCCTGGTAATTGGGTTGCACCGCAGAGGTACTTGGACCCCAAGGACATGAAGGCCCTTGCAGTGTTTCACAGTATTTGAGAAGAGGTTGGAATTTTTTGGCCCATTCGATCACACAAGGCAGAGCGGTGAGGGAAACACAACAATTAGATGGGGAAAACAGTAATTTTAACCAGCCAAAAAACAATGCTTGGAAAAAGAATAGGGAAGCTGACGCGACTCATTCAAGAATTCGTGACCCTAACTAGCAGAGAGGGTTCGGCGCTAATTATTTATGGAGCGGATTAGTGCCAATATCACTAATAAGGAAGCTGTTAAAATACGGAACAAGGAAGAATGATGGACGCAAATAGAAGGCTTTTCGTGAACTGTTCAAGAATGAAATGAGTAAATTAGCAATAAATAACGGTACTTTCTGGTATTTGAGAGAGACGCACCGTAAAGTCGCCAGAGTTTGGAATTCATAATGAAGGAGAGAGATTAGATACAGCCTGTCCTCCTGTATAGAGGCATTCTGGTGAACCAGGTGGCTCAATAAGACTATTAGCCACTAATGCCCAGAATTAGGCAACCAGTCAAGCAAGGAACCAGGGTAGATAAGGGGGCACCTCGTCTATGAAGGTGTGCTTTTCTACACGTGATGTGAGTTCGAAGTGCACAAATACTTGGAGTTTTCTACAACAGAATGCACGCTGCTTGAGAGTTCACTGGCTGCGTCTCTCCGTTTAGCAAAATGAAACACACAAGCAGATTTGTAATGGACTTTGAGGGGAAGTCAAATTTAGCCTAGACCAACGCTTTGGATATCGGTCAAGTATGTGACGCGCCAGTTCATGTCACACGTTTTCCGAAAGCGGGGAATATAAAAGTAATTCTCGCATTGTCCGTCAAAACAAAGGTGGCGCCGCGAGATATGTAATAGAAGGCTCCCTTGATGCAAAACAGAAAGGGCATTTGACAAAGCTCGCTAGCCTGAGTAAAGTAAAATGGAGAGACGGTGATCTAAGTAGCCACTCAATATTCGAAAAAGGAATGGAATTTTCAAAACTGTGACGGTTTAACGGTTACCACTACATAGTGAAAAATGTTTGTGTCCAATGAATTGTGCAAATTACCTACACAGGTAGCTTGTTTAGCTGGGCTAATCTTCAAGGTCATTAATCACCACCATCGACTGTGAAAACAGTGTTTATACAATAAGCGATTGCGATTTGAGGTAAAATATGGATAGCTTACAATGGAAAAGAGATTTCCTATTAGTTCTGTGGCTGAAATAGTTCAATGAGCTCCTTAGTAGCTACACTGTGCTTGCGGATGTAATATACGCGGAAGCGCCACTCCTGTAAGTAATTTTTACTAGTTACAATAGCACTGATATTTATATATTTACATTTATTTATTTATCTAAAATTTGTTTAGTTGCGAATGCCAAATTGTGTTCCTGGACCTCGAGAATTGCTATTATGAGTTGCCATCAAGATAAACATATTCATTTTTTGGATAGCTCACACGTGTTTTGAAGAACGTAAGACTTCATGACCAATACTCATAGATCAAATTTGGTGGTAAACTGCGGCTGAGTTCTCCATTGTAACTGGAATAAAATGCCAAAACGGTCAGATGGTTGATAGTAGTGGGCGGCTGAATGAGCCTAGCTAGTACACGACTACTGTGCGGCTAGTGGTTCGCTATGTATAGTCAGCTGGCCGATGAGCACCCATCCAGCTCTACAGGGAAAAGTCGAGGGTCAAAAGTGTACAACCGGGGAAGCTGAATTTCATCGGTTGTTTTAATCAGTACAATGTCCTGCATGGATGTGCATGGCACTCCAAATGCGCAGTGTTCATTAAGCTACTGACGTCCGGAAATGAGAGTATGATAAATGTTGGGTTATTTAAATATCACTATGAGGCAGACAGCTGGCAACTTGGGAGCAATACTTGCTCTATAAAGGGGGCACTCCAGTGACGACAACCTATTGTAGGGATGTTTACGCAACACCGTGCTCAACGGCTAATTTGCATTACGTGATTTATTGCCGGTTGGCGCCTACTGACTGACAGGACATATGAGGCTAGCATGAAGTTTATGAGGCCACGCTAACAGACTAAAAGCCTGAAGCTGACAGGCCTTGCATAAATCACACACGGATTGATACAAAGGATCGAGGATTTTGCCCAAGTTTCCAGGGTCGGTTTTGTTCTTGTCAGTCAGTGGCTGTCGTTCACCTGAAACCTTCAAGTGAAAAAAGTGTGTAGCACTGCTCTTCACGTTCTCAGCTTGGGGCAGTATGCTTGCCAACGCAAGGATTCGCATAAATAAATGTCTAATAGTGCTTTAAACTAGGTTCTAGAAGGAGCGTGGACAACCGTCGGAGGAAGGTCATTCCACGCGCCTAATACTCGAAATGAGAAAATTTTGTCTGCTTCGTGTGTGTGATCTGAAGTTGAAAAATTTCTTACTATGTCCCCGCTGGGTGTTTTCTGCGTCAGCGGTATGAAACTTGTTTGTCAAGCTTTGTTCAGACGGAGCATAAGTAAGAATTAGGTCCCCTTGGAGGCGACGGTATTCCAGGGGAAAGAGATCAGACATCGCGAGACGCGTTTCGTGGTCCACGGATTTGAGGCCAGCAACCATTCTCGTGGCTGCTCGCTAGACACGCTCAACGAGGGGGACGTCTTTCGTGCGTCCTGAGTAGACAGCTTGGTTGGCGTATTCCAGGAGCGGTCTGACGTAGGCCCTAGAGAGTATTTGGAATTCCATGCGAATAATACGGAATCATCGTCGTCTCTTTCCCATAGGTGGTGTTCTACAGCGTTGGTCCTAGTATTGGGCCATCGACGCGGTCGTCCACTAGCCAAGCCCTAGGAATCAAAATATGGATGCCCACGAACTTTCTGGGTACAGTGTGTTAGGAATCCGTTGAAGGTCAACCTCATAAGATGCATCCTTCACAGACCGGTTAGAAGGCACACCTGTGTGCTTGCTGGACTGATCAATGGTCGTGCAAAAAAAGCAAACTAATCACATTCGAACTCGCTATTGAAACCAGCCTAAAGAGCATCACTGCATTGCGCCAAAGCTACAGCATCACAACAGTTGACTTGATATGCTACACGATCAGTGCATACCAGCGGTTACTGGTACCAGTCGGCCGTATAAGAAGCGCAAAAGACCCAGGTTTGTGTCCTTGTACCGCCATTTGAGTTGGATTACAGTATCCTTGAGTGCCGAAGGTAGATCGCTATTTGCAGAAATCAAACTTTGGCGTGGTAGGCTTTACCCCTGAGTGCTGATTGATAACTGTGTCCCTCCTGGGTCCTGACCCATGAAACTTAACCCACATCCGGTGTGCACACTTTTTTAAACAAGGAAATGGTTTTGGCGGTGCAGAGACCAGTTCGTTTCTATTTCTGACAACTACAGGCTCATTGGTGGATAACAAACGATCCGCGAAAATCACGATACGGCGGGTCGAATTCAGAGTAAAGTTTTGCACCTCCTCCGGTTATCTCCAGTCGCCGTGGTAGCGCCAGAGTTGCATGCTTTCAGTTTATTTGGTGGTGCATTCAGATGTTCCCATCAGCATCCATCCACTGATTAGCCCACTGTGCTTAGAAGCATTTACTAAAAAAAGCCAGACTTAAGTCGACTGATTCTTCCACTGAAGGAGAAGATTTCATTTTTGAACGAGTAGGCGGTAGACCTGGACGAAGGAAGGATCACCACATTCTGTGTCACGGGAGAGGAAAATGTGTCTGAAGGGCGACGGTCTAAAAGTGCATGATAGGTGAAAACCTGGGAAGATGGCGTTTAGAGATGAGTGTTGATGCTGAATACCGCGCCATCATGAGAGGTTAGCAGAGGTGAAACAAAAAATGGGGTGTCCGTAGCAGTAGGAAGAAGCATGAAGTGTTTCATGGCAGCTGTCGAAAAAATCTTATTCCACTACAAGACGCACAGATTCATCGCTCCTCGAGAACTGTGGCTCATCTGCGGGGTTGGTGGCAAGCGAACGTTTATGAGAGAAGAGCTTCAAGATTCAAAGGACACGAGTAGAAGAGCGTTAAATAGCAAAGCTAAAAAGCCAAGTCATCTGAGCAGCTTGTTGGGCCTCGTTTGGTGAATCAGCTGGAAGTGTTTCTTTGCTTAACCGCTGTACTGGCCTCCCACATATTTTGAACTTTGGCAGTACCACACCTCTTTTCATGCGTATGCACACGTTTGTAGTGCTATTTCGGAGCATGTGTGGTATGTGAAAAACATGGCCACTGAACTTATTGAGGGATAACAAAAACTCCTGGGATATCGTCGGTAGTAGTGAGTGATTACTGAACGGTAATAATGATGGGCTGTTGGATGGGTCACTCTTGATAGTGGAACATCAGAAACAAAATTAGCCTTGACGGATGAGTGGAGATACACATATTAGGGGGGGCGTGAATTTTTGGGCAGAAAGAAAAGTGCGACCAACGAAGAGGGCGATTGGTATAGAGAGTTGCTTCAGAATATTCCGTTTTCTATGCAGCACGATGTAGGGAGTTTTCATTGCAGAAGGAAGCGTTATCGCCTGAGCGGCCTTCAACGTTCACCGAATCAGTGGATGTGAAAATGAATGATGAAGCAGCCATAGTTTATGGCTACGAAGTTTAAGGAAGAGTGGGAGCCGTAAACGGCTGTGTTAAGGGCGGCAGCTGTAGAACAGCGTATTTTAATTCATTGAAAGAGCAAGCAAAAATACCTCTTATAACGCTAAGCATGTTCCTACCCACTTTTGTCGCCTGCCATAGACTCAAGATGACAGGATTTTTGCCGTGTCCAGGTGGAAACACAACGTTTGCTTCGCACAACATTATCTTTCAACACAAACGCGCAAAATTTTACCAGAGCGATACGTATCAAATGGGATTTTCACAAGAGGTAGTGGGAAAAAATCAAACGCAAGAAGTAGCAAGAAACAATTAGCCACTCGTGCCATCGGGATGGTCTAATGTAGAGCTAAACCTGCCAGGATACAAAAAAAAACAGAAACGAAGGAGAATATCGTTAGGAGGAAGCACATTTGGAAGGACGATGTTTTACTGGAATAAGTCTACGGAACGCAATCCAAAGGTGAGGAGAAAGGATTCGGCAAAGAAGCCAGGAACCCATCCACAAATTGATGGAGTGAAGCCCTTCAAAGTGCATGTGGACTTGTTTCTAAAGACCTAGGGGAAGTTTCCAAGGCTGATACCACATGTCAGAGTTCATGGGCTGCACTCAGTCAGTTACCCTTTGATTGCAGGTGGTGCTTAATTTTATAAAAATACCTGGAGGCCGATCCAAAACAGCCAGCCTCTCGACAAGAACCCGAACAATCTGGTACCGAAACTGATTGAGATTGCTTTAACCCGGTGGCTGCCGCCTTCACTGCATGGCTTCGCCATTCCATCTTCTGCTGGATAGTCCGCTGACATCCCCGTATTCGTGTATAAGTCAAATCAGCAACATCCTATGTGTGGTTGTCCATCCGTACCTCCCATAGCATCAGTGAACAAATCTGACAGATTCCATCTTTGGATAGTCCGCTGACATCCCCGTATTCGTGTATAAGTCAAATCAGCAACACATCCTATGTGTGGTTGTCCATCCGTACCTCCCATAGCATCAGTGAACAAATCTGACAGCTTTTATCCCACACAACATGTGTGTGTTTTCACTGCAAAAGTTCATGGTAGTATTAGTATTAAGGTAGCTCTAGGGTCGAATCGATGCCACAACAATACTCATCTGAACTTTTGAATATGGCATTAAATGAAGTGCGCTCTCTGGAAATATGGTTCCGTATCAATGTGCCAGCACTTTAGCCGACGGAATAAACAGGAAGTGGTTTTCATATCATAGCCACGGAAAAGTGGTAAAAATAGATAAAACGACGTGATCGTCACCGACTTTTGATGGAAAAGATGTGCCTCCTTATTAGATAGCCACTGATCGTGTGGCCGCCCACTGATAAGCAATAATCAGCAGTAGCCAGAATGACCGTGAATAAAAGCTCGTTTTGATCACTGTGATAGCGAGTGTAAATAAGCATTGCCGATTGCAACCGAAGGTAGATATCTACCGCTCGATCGCCACGGTGAAGAAATGTTTAACTGGAAAAGTGAGTGCAGCTTCGTGAAAATCAAAAAGCTATTACAATCTCAGCACGGAAGCATCACGGCCTGATGGCCTAAATTTCNGAAAGAGTATATAACCCCGCTGCAACATCTGCACATAAACAAGTCAGTTAGTTAGACACGGGAGACATCCCAAGTCTCAGTGTTTGAATTTTTATCGTTCATCATATATGTAAATGACCTAACGGCCCAAACCATCCTTGTTTCATTTTCACAGATGGTGTAAAAATACTTGGAATTGTCGCTGGCAATTCGCACATTGAGATTGACTTCTCGAAATCTACGGCATTTTCAGACTTGCCACATCATGGTGTAGAATGTCTATGTATAATGTATATGTTCCTGTATAATTGAAAATCCTTCACTATGGCGATTTGTTTAAGTGAATCCACAGGTGAATAAACACCGCCGACTTTGAATACCTTACCGGATGATAAAACATCGCGAATTGTGGAAGAGGTTGACTCACATAAAATGAACGTGACCTTCAGGTATTATTCCACCGGAACAGATTTCCTCAACGTTCTAGAATCTAAATGGCCTTTGGAGATGCAACATATGCGTAGGCGCATTCGTGCAAACAAATTTTGGCCGACGATTCATTGTTGCCCGTAAAAACTCCGTGGTGCAAGCTAATAATTTTCTAAACATCGTGGACGTTGACTGGAAAGTTACAGAGTTTTTCATTATAGATACAGAATTATGCTAGAAATTCCTCCGGTTTCATTGATCTTAACCGTGTGGAGAATTTTATCTTTATTTTACTCCCATTACAACACTACGTATTTCATCAGTTGCATAATCGTTT